TAGAAAATGATGAATTATTATCAACATTTGAAATATCTAAACAAACATGTAGAACTGATCAAGACAATTAATTAACATCAGAAGTAACAGGAAAATGTATTGTAGATGTTATTCGCCAAGTAATAGAATTATGAATAGGAAAAAATAAATGTGATTTTTTATTTTAGAATAATCAACCATGTATGTTGAACGCGCATCGATTTTATGTTTTTTGTTTTTAATGATTTAGAAAAAAATTGCATCAATATATCAGTTTTTATTAGATCCTTATATTGATTTATTTAATGGATTAACTTTTAAAAAAGTCTAAAGTAAACAAAACGTGAAGAATGTTTAAATGAATTCAATAATTTTCATAGATATGCTGTTTATAAGTAATTTAGTAAGATAAAAAACCCTTCTTTAAGGGTATAATTTTTTTTATTATATTCTGTTTTTTTTCAAGGTTCTTGATCGTGAATCACAAATGGATAATACAAATGTCCAATGGTTAGCTGATTCATCATCGAATAATATAACTGAATTAGCTGATTTTCATGGAATTACCGTATCCTTTGAACAATACTCTCGAAATTGATTTCAATGATTTCGATCTAGTGAATACAAAACTACTTGAATATTATGTGAATGGCATTCAGTAAATGATTTACAAAAAATGTTAATTATTCGAAGTTTACATTCTGATTGTGTATCATTTCGAATAACGAAATTTTTCATTAATAATAAGAATGCAGAATTTGTTGAAGGGTGTACGGGTGTGGAGAAGATAAGACCTTAATCATCCACACCCGTACCCGTTAGCCGACTCTCTCCAAGTATATCTCTGAAAGTTTCCGGAGAGGGTTTTTGATAATCTTATAGAATATGAGGTGTGATCTATATATAGCTGTGTAAGGTGCAAATCGTTGTAAATAAAAAATATAATTTTTATTCAAATGTTCAATATTGCTAGAAAACAACCATATAAGAATAGTTTCAATTCATGCTCTTTATTTCACTACTTTCCTAGTTGATACAGCCGCAGGCATATCAATTCTTTTGTGTGTTTTTTATGATGCTTCTGCTTTGTAATAGGAATTAATTTTCCATAAGTTACATATTTATTTACACGATGAAAAAAAGAAAGAAAAATAATTGTACATAAACTTTTTAGAAAAATATAGAATTTTTTTGTCTCTCGATGGTTCTTCGGTCAAATAAGAGGATAACTAGCCATGGTAGCAATACCACATTGGTTTTTCTTGTTTCGACTCATCCAAATATAACCTTTCATACCCCATGATGTACCCCATGAGTTTTTTATAATATAATAATCATCTGAACTTGTTGTATCATAACCAACAGCTAATACACCATGATCAAGGTTTGTTGATGAACAAGCTGGTTCATTGTAAACGCCCGATTTATAAAATTGAAATGAATCTTGTGATGCATCAATAGCAACTGAAATTGGACCAATAGTAGCAATAGCAAGTTGAAGATCATCTTCATTCTGAGCTGCGATATCAATATATCCCTAAAATATCATAATTATATATTTAAATAACTTTAAATTTTTTATAAAATAATTCATAGTTACAGTATCAGTGGCACCAATATTAGCGCTGTCGAATCGACATAGACGATCAAAACCTTCATATGGATAGCTATCTTCAGTATCAATACCTTCATTAACTTTGATATATTGAAAAGCGCGATCCATTAAACCACCCCAACAACCCATGTTGCCAACAAAATCTGAGCAATCAACTAAGTTTTGTTCTGAAAGTGAAGTAAGTTTTTTTGTTTTGGCAAAATGTTGACCTTCAAGAGCGCCAGTGGCTGAAAAAGCCCAACATGAACCACATTGTCCTTGATCTTTGACTGGTGTTACATAACCTTCTTTAAGCCAATCTATATGAATATATTTTTCAAGATTTTGTCATTATATTACAATAATCCCAATCGAAAAAAACCTACTGATAGACTTTGGAAGGACAATATTTGATGGAGCTATGAATGTGTGGTGATCATGATTATTTTTTGTTTTTGATGCTTTAAATCCATTCATTTGTTTTTTGAACTCTTCATTAGTCTACATAAACAATTATAGTATATTTGCATATCTAATGATGAGAAAGAAAGCTACCAAATCACCAAATCGGTTCATTCCTAATGTATAAGTATGAATGCCAAGATCAGCTTCAAAATTATGTTGATGAATTTTGGCAAGATTTGTTTCCCAAATCTTGCGACTATCAATGAAAGAAAAAAAAACATTTTTTCCAAATTATAAAAACTCTTTTATATAATACCGAATATTTTCTTCTTCAGTTGTGTTATATTGTTTTTGATAAACACTTTTGAATAATGCCCATTCATTGCCAAGTTGATTATCAAGGATAGGAGCGCAATAAGCCCCTACGAAGAGGACACAAAGTGCAATGAAGAATTTCATTGTTGATGTTGTATGTGAAGACGACGGTTTTATTGATTGTCGATGAAATGTAACAGATTCGCTGCGAAATAATTGTGTTTATTTATATTTATTACAACTTTCTCATAGTCGTAATATCATACATAGGTGACGTCAAGTTCTGTCATACGATTTCAAATGAGCAAAACATTTGACCAATCTGATATGATCATAAAAGAATAACGCTATTTGGTTATCTTTAAAATATTGTTTCTCATGCAGGCTCTTCATAGAATACTATACGAAAAGTAATAGGTGATAAAAATGTACTTTTCATTCAAAATGTTTTATGTCTACATAATCATTCATGTGATGTGTGAATTTAGTGAGTATGACTTGTCTGTAAGTTAATAGTGCGTACTTTTCTTATAGATAAAGTTAAAGAATTCGTCATGAGGGAGGGGGGGGAACTATGAAAGATGCGCATGACGAGAGTTGCGCATGACGAAAGTTGCATACGCACATGATGCGCACAGAATAACAAATTCTTATCTACATCTTGTAGGATAAAAATGAAGAACAAATGGATACATAATGGAAGCAAAGATAGTTGGAAAGTTGAATGAAAATAGAAAAAAACATCAGCTCAAACCGTTATTCTCCTCTTAAACTTTCACCTATATCAATACTATTAACTATCAAATCATATCAAACTAAATATAAAGAAAAGGAATTCTTCGCTTAATTTATCCAAACACAATCCAGACTGCATATACATGTAATAGTAATCAGCGATGGACATGGTTCAGCCTTCTAAAAATTCGAGCTCAATCAAAAAGAATTAAACTCCTACAGAAATAATTAAAATTATGCAATTTTTATTTGGACTCGTTTGCCTTATTTCAGACGATTGTTATTTAAATCCTTCTCTGTACAATAGAAGTTTCTTGCACTTTACCAACTTCAATAAATCACCTATCATTACATCGTTTGTTTGAAGCTAACGATTGAACTGTAGATATTATTATCAAAACATTTGTTTAGAAGCTCTTCTACTTGAGAAAAATGATAAGAAAATGACTGTAGAGGAAAACGTAAACGTTTATTCTGATTGCATTAGTGCAATGTCTTTGTATGTCACTGACAAAAGACAATTTAAAAAGAAAACATTACTGAAAGGAAAATGAAGATGTCTCAATGAAAAAATACCTATAAAATATAAAATATTAATGTAGTTTTTGATTGACACAGTTTTGAAGTATAGTCGATCCGACGTTGACTATTCGCATTCAAAAAAAAAAAAAATTCTACACATTCTTAATCTTCTACAAGACATTGTCTAATGCTTCATTCACTTGACACTAAGTAGAAACAAAACTATCGAACAGTCGAATAGATTTACGCATAAGTAATCCAACTGTAAACCAAACTACAAAGAGATATATTTTATAGAGCGGAAAAGCATTATGAACTCCTTCTGTTAAACATGAGCAATTGATTAATGATTGTGATGTTGCAAAAGGCACTTTCTTTCCTTGAATATTAAATGGATCTTGATTAACAGCAATCACATCTGGATTAGTAAGTGTTAATAGAGTGGCTGCACTCATGTTCCTAATATCACATCCAATAATCAATCGTAATTTAGTAATTGATCACAGAAAGAAATGACTCACATATTCCGTATCCGTCATGCCACCATTACCAGCTTCGAGTACTAAATGAATATGATAAAATATATTAGACTAGTTATAAAATAATCACTTACTATCAGAATCATTCCAACCACCTGGACCCGGTTGCTTAGCAAGATAATTGTTCTGGAAGAAAAGAGAAAAGTATTCAAATATGAAAGATGTCAAATAAACTTACACGATCAATATTGCCAATCATTGAAGTCCAATTATCTTGAATATCATTTTTTGTTCATCAACTATTTTCGAGACTAGGTAGCCACAGATCCGCGAGATTAAGACCATCTTTGATAGAAAAATGTCGAATAATATACAAAAAAAGTGTTACCAGTTTGTATGCAGGAGTTCCATCCAGATAACAACTATCAAGTTTCAAATAATCTATACCTCAAGCAGCACAAGTCTTATATCTTCTATCTGTTGTATTGTTAAAAATAAAATTTGAGTTGCACATCTGACAGTGGAAAAAGTTTTTGAATCAGGTTGAATAATCCGTTGAGCATCTTGACTTTTTTGCCTGAAACCATCCAAATTCACTATGAAAGACAATAGGAAGATAATGATTTGTATATAAGAAAGAAAGAAAAAAAAGAGACCATGTTGATATCTAGCTGCAGCAAAAGCTATGGCTATCATAGCATCTGTTGTTTTTCAGATTATCGTTTCATTGATACGACAACCAAAGTGATTCGAACTGTTCCATCGTTCAATAGTGAAAATCGTGCATAGTTTTTTCCTTAAAATGAATTCTTTTTTTTCTCTTACTCATTTGAGGTGTTCTATCAAGTCCATTATTCAATTCATGAGATAAAAAATAACCAGAAAAAAAAATGTTGGCATTGTCATAGCGTCGTAATACCACGATGTGAAGAAAAAATAAGTTGACGACAAAAGAACGTCTAATTTATATTTTACTGTGTTGATAAAAGAAGGTAGAGTCCTTTGCCACAACTAAATTCTTATCTATATTTAGATACAAGAATGTATTTGCATAAAGATGCACGTCAATTGTTGATAGTTTTTTCGCACTAGGATGTTACACAATTTATCTTCAATTACTATCTGGATCTGATTTTCCTGAAAGTCATATAAAACGATCATTGATGAACAGAATCAGACTTGCATCGGAGCTTGTCAACGTACACTGTATCCATCGGTTTAGTTAAAGTTTCACATTCATCAATTTGATATTATATGTAGTTTTTAGTCTTTTTTTTTTGGTGGTTGTTTATCATGACATTTTTTGTCGGTTGATAATATGAGCCACGAAAATTAAATTCTAATAAAAACTTCACTTGAAACAAAAAGACACCAATGAGGATTGACTTGTTACGTGCACTTGGAAAGATTTTAGTTCTTGGTCCTTTCTTACAAAGTGTAAACATATTTTTAAAGCCAGTATAAAAGACACAAAATAAAAAAAAGCTTGTTAGCGTAGTTTCTTTGGTGCTAAAATATGGAAATCGCATATCTTCTTCATCGTTATTATGCTAATAGAAAATGCGTCAAATAACTAATAACTAATAGACGATAGTTGCCTTTCGGAAATAATCGATCACCAAAGAAACGATCTGTCTTATTTGTATTTGCATTTTGCACAGTAGTTTTTTTCTTTATTTTTTTTGTTGCTATTTGCTCATTATTTATTTTTTCTTAATTGACTATTATTTTTATTTTTGTAACTAATGGTTTAACTAGAAAAGCAGCTAGTTGTACAACTCTTCTTTGAGTTATTGCTTTGTATCAACGATTGAAAACATTGAACTCAGTATTCAATGATGAATTAATCTCTTTATGCATAGATAAATGCAGCCACATAACCTCGTGTAACAGTCGTACAGATTACATCAACATACATTCGTAGTTAATACGATCTTTGTTCACTGTACGATATTTATAGTTTGATCTGTACGTCGTGTCGATTAACTCGGGTGTAGGTGACAGGATTACATGCATTCATGCTATTTAAATATTCATAAATATAAGTAAAAAGTTGAATCGAGCTTTCCTCCGCTACATCTTTAGATAATTTTTTATTAAAAAAATGCGGAAACCTCGGATTGAAATGCGAGAGTTATGTGTACTTCAAAAAGTGAATGAGACGGATGAGTCATCCTGCAATGTGTGGACATCAAAATTATCCTTGCTTGCAAACCTTTTCTATAAAACGCTTAATTTTTATTGGCTACTGCTCAACCAGTAAGATTTACAGACGAATACAGCTCAGATTTGAACTCTTCACCTTCATTTACCCTAGGAAAGTTGTTTTTCCTATAACTTGATTTCTGTTGGTTACTGTTCGACCAATAGGATTTTGAGGCAAATGGAGCTCAGATTCGAGTTCTCCGTCCCAGAAAACCTAGAAGTATCATCTCCGTGATCGAAAGACAGCTCTAATTGTGGACCAGTTAGAGCGTAGACAAAAACAGAACTAATGCCTGTTTAATTATCTTTGCAATAGATGAGTTAGCCTTCTTGTTTCGTTGTTTTTCATATACCATTTTGTAGCTCGTGAAATTCTCTATCGAATAGTATATAATAGTTGGGGTTTTAATTGACTATGATAGGAAAAGTCTTTTACGAAAGCGGCGATGGGTCGATTTTTCCATAGGAAGCCATAGAGAAAAATGGGTATTTTTGCAATAACTCAGGAACAGCTCGGCCGATCCTTCTCATCTTCGAACTCGACCGAGATATTGTAAAGACTGAACTGTGTAGAAAATCTCATCTTGATTGGACTCTCCTTTCGAAAGTTATCGTGTAAACGGCCGGCCAGCCGGACACACTGACCCATTCTAGAGTGTACTCACTTTTTGAGTACACAAAAAATGAATGCGCACCAGAAACCAAAATGCGTGCGAAAATCTTAATTCAGATCCGATTTAACGCCATTCGGCTTAAACTCACAGAAAAAATGTTATTATTGTTGCATATGCTATATACTACATATATTTTGATTCTTTTCTCTGGATAAGCTGTTTACTTTTCTACTATCAAGTTCTAGTCATCTTTTCTATATTTGACCTGGTCATATATATTGAGACCTCAATTTTTTTAAAAAAAGGAAAAACAAGAATAGATTGTATGGAATAAAATGACTCGTAAAATTTTGATATTAACGAATACGAAAATAAGGAATATAATTGATTCTTGATAAATCGGGATTTCATGAGCGCAGTATGTCTTTCAAGATTTTATGAGCAAAAATTGATCGATACAAAAATTAGTCAGAATAGTTTATACTAAAAGGATTAAAACTTGTTTTAATAAAAAGCTTTATTTGAAATGAATAACTTGGACAGATGTGAGAAAAACAGTCGGCAGAAATTACTCATAAATCTTCATCTTATCATATAAATCCTTTTTGTATCTTTCTTAAAAATTAAAATATTTTTTTCTTCAAAACTTGTCATAGGAAATGCCTGATATGAAGTTGTAAATAGATGTTGACCAAAAACGTGCTAAACCTATCAAACAGTATTTTTGTTTATTATATACGACTGCGTCATTTAGTTAAACATTTACAACTAAGATCTCTATTCACAATAATTAGACGGATTTCTTTATAACTTAAAAATTAGAATTCTTTTCTTTTCTACCGATGTGATTCATTTAACTCAATTATCCGTTTCATGTAACATTATTAAGTAAATTTAATTAGTGTCATCAAAAGTGTGAAATAATATATGTCAACATGTCTTTTTAATCCTTTTCTTTAGTTTTTTTCTCGATTGGTTTGTGATCCATCGAAACAAACTGAATAGGAAGACTTCTCGATTCAATTCGATTCGGCTTTGGTTTTTTGTGTACGTGAAACGACTATTTCTTAAAGTAACATTCTCATCGATGTGATTATTTACAGAAGAGAATGGGATTCTATGTTGATAAAAGAAACATATTACCAAGATATCTCTGAAAATATTTCCAAATTCTATGAAACTCAAGATAATTACATTCACAACTCTGTTTTGAGCAGTGTGTAATATACTCTGTAAATATATAATATCTTTACAAACTTTGTCTCAGTAATAGAGATTTTTTTCTGAAACACTATGCCTTTCTCACTAACAAAAGAACATTCGTTAAGTTCGATTGTCAAAGCTTTCCTCTTTGAAAACGATTGCCTAAAAATAAACAACTTATTCCTAGTTTTCGAAATTAAGGAGTCATATTCATAATTGTTGGCTATATCTAAGAACAAGCAGAAAGCCTCAAATATAAAAATTACAATCAATGTTTTATGACCAATTTCAAAAAGTAGATTATTTATATCATATAGGATTTCGCATTTTGCTAATTTTCTCAAAGAAAAGTTTATTAAATGGTTAGTATTGACAAGGGTGTGTGTGAGTGGATATAGTAGTGGTTGAGATGAAAAGTTTAATTCACATCCACATCTCACAGCCTACACCCTTGTCAAACTCAAGTTGATTTTCCCGCAATATTTTGAACAGAAGCTTTTAAAATACCTATTACAAGTAAAAATTCCAGATGTTTGGGGGTGTGATTACAGATATTTCCTGTCTTTACGCACAGTATTCATCACAAACATAATCGTCTACTCAGCTATCGACATTCTAAAATAGTAATGGTTAGAATATGCAATTAAATATTAGTAGTCTTGATCCTATGAGTCAGAAAATGTAGCTCTGATGCACTTCATTCAAACTTTGTTTCCAAGATGAAATGGGTGACTTCTTTTTTCTTGATTGAAACATATATTTATTGATAAAAAAAACGAACATTTTATGAATCAAAACCGAGTTATGTTTCGAATAGCTTGTTAAAGCTCTATTCTTCTTCGGACAAAAGAATTTCCTTTTTCGATTCATTTTTTCATTACTTAATACACTGAGTTAAAAAATCAACATACATCACAAGATGCAGCGCGAAAAGCGCTGCAATCTACAAAGGACAGCATATTTAACAATTGCATTTTTTGTTTTCAAAATGGATAAAATTTTGAGCCACTAGTTTCTGACACTTCGAAAAAAATAATTTTTTGGTGGGTGTGGATATGAATGTGGGTGCGAGTATGGGTGCGAATGTGTTTTCTCTCAGCAAATGGCCACACTTCACATCCTTTCTCTACATAAGGCTGTGTTAAGGAATTTATTGGAATTTCCAAATGTGATCAAAAAGAACGTTGACAATAGTGAAAAGTCTTTTGTCCCACCATATTTCATCGTGTCCACCATATGGATCAATACATGTCAATAAAATCTTTTCATTATCATTGATTTGTTGGACTGATTCTACGGCCATTTGTTTAAAACCATATTTCTGTGTCAATAAATCAACCATTTCATTCGATCGACTGGCCGCGAGGCGTTCTAGACACCAAAGAAATGTATCTAAAAAATGTAAATATTGGTGGACTTTGAAACTGACCTACGAGTGAATTATGAATCTCCCATGCTGTCGTTAAACCCCAATCAATGTATAATATTGGAACATGGTTTGATTGTAAAACATCATTGTATTTCTGTAAATAAATTATCCTTAATTTGTTCCATATGTTTTTCAAGTGTTTACCCGAATCAAATCAGATGTTTCTAATGATTTAAAGTATTTAGTCATGATTGGTAAGGGTAAAAAATCGAGTCCAGCCCAAAATGAAGGCGACATGCAAATAGCAATACCAAACACCGACGGATGGGAAAGAGCCATATGAAATGCTGCTAATCCACCGAGACTTGACCCTAAAATATTTCTATGATCACGAAAGAATATTAACAACAAAGACTGATACCTGCAATAACGGTATGTTTTACTGTAGATAATGTTCGATAATTTCTATCTATCCATGGCTTGACATACTTGACAATATAATTATTGTAATCATCAACTGCACCGTAAGTTTGTTTCCTTACAGTAAGAGAAGTACAATAAGTTCTCCAGTTAAACTTAAAAGCGTTTAATAATCTAATCAGAATTCGAACTATTCACGAAATTTTTGTTTCAAAAATCAATTTACTGTCGTTTTCATAGTGATGCTCTGTTCGAAAACCTTGTTGAAAGAGAGCCAACAATTATTTGATGAGATATAAGATGATTTACTCCGTTTTCATTAAGTAGTAATTACATTAACAATTCAAAATATGAGATTACAAGACAACGTCAATATACTTTGATAAAAAAGGATTCAACCAGTAAAGGAGAAATTACACACGAATTCGGTATATTTATTTTGCTGCTACTCGAATGGTTGGAAGTGCATAAGCGTCTTTAATGTTTGCCAAATCCGAATGAGCAGCATTTCGAAGAGTCAGAGCAGTTTCGTGAAAACAAAATCTTAGGGGAAAAGTTATCGAAAAACGGTGAAAATATGACAATAAGACTTTTCATTAAAGGTTTTTGGGGTATATTTTCAATTCTGAACTCCTCTTAGGAAATCTTCTTAGCAGAATTTTGAATAAAACTATTCTAGTCCTTCATGAATGTTCACTTGATCATATTAAAATAATTTCTCTCCTCTGTTGCAACTCTAAAAAAAAGCAATCCCTTTTTGAAAAAAGAATTGAGAAAATTCAATGAAAAGTAACTCGATGTTTTTCCATATACGAAGACGGTCAAAAATTAGATTTAAAAATTGATTATAATGGCACTATTTTAGTCTGATTTTAATCAGATTCTTCACCTTAAGAATCAGATTTTATTTGATTTTAGTCTTTCTTTTTGAATATATTTTAATCAATTATTTAAATTAAATCATTTACAATTGATTATTAGAAATCGATTTTAATTGATTAAAGTTTGCTAACCGATTAAAATATATTAAAATGACTAAAATCAAATGAAATGTGGTCCTTAAAGCTAAAAACTCTAATTAAAATCAGCTTAATATAGTGCCATTATAATCAATTTTTTATCTGATTTTTTTACCGTTTTTTGACATGGATTTTTTGAACCTATTTTAAAAAGATCAAACTAAGATCTATTTTACTAGTAGCAACAAAAATGAATTCTTTGGCATCGAATTGTTTCATGATATGGAAATTTATCGATTTCTAATGCTGAAACTCAAATAAGATGTTGTGTAAAAATTTCTGACAGGAAAATTCTTCGAACGATTTACATCATTAAATACTCACAAGGATGTTCTTTCACAAACAGAAACTCTTTGAAACGTACCTATTTTGAGATCATCCCTTGAAAGATATGTCATTCTGAAGCTTGAAAACGTCAAAGTAAAAAGTACTAGTATTAAATATATGATAGAGCAAGTTGGCTGCTCTCATAAGTTTCACTTCGTCAAATTCTTTTTTTTTCAGTGATCATAATCATCGATTTTCTTGCAAATTCAATATAAACTTACCACATCCAATGTGAATGTGTATATTCTCGATTACGATCAATAGGATGAATGGCAACAACAATCGCTTGTTTAGATTTATTATTGTCATATATTTTGGATAATATTTGTCCTACCTGAAAGTATCACAATTATGTTTAAGATAGCATCTAGTCGTAGGTAATTTACATTCCAAGATTTATTCGCCACACCTCCATTCCAAAATACCGTTTGACCATCATTCATCTAAATGACGGGATATCGTTTTTGTTCATTGTTGGTCAAATAATCAATGAGTACAAAGACATGTATTTTTCGTGGTAGTTGATCGTGTGATACGCAAAATTCATCGTAGGTATGAAAATGACCAGCAGTAATACCCTTATTACTTGCATCATGAAAATGGCATTTCGGACCGTCGATTGTAAAATCATGCTCCTTCGTAGCCATTTTCTGCTTGTCGCTTTCTTTTTTCCTTCACATTTAATAAATAAACAAAACCGGAATGTTCCTCAGAGTACGTTAGATTCACTGTCATGTTGAGTCACTTTTTTTTTATACCTGATACTCTTTCCAATACAGTTTATTTTATGGATCATTATAAATCGGAGAGCTTGACTTTTTTTCTCTTCTCGTTACAACTGCAGATTTAGAGAAAATATAAGTCATTGCTGTTGATTCTTTGATTTTAATCAACAATGAGTCACTCAATCAAAATTTTAGTCTGCGATGAAATCAAGAGGAAAAAACGTACATCTTTAATAGAGTCCTGTAGCCCTATCCTACTCGAATCGAGGGTAAGAGCTAGGATACGATTTTCGCAAGATAGAATAGAGTAGAGTAGAATATGGCACCGTTTAAAACATTAAGATAAAATGCAGGGTACACAATATTTCAAACGAAATCGTCTTCAAACAAATATGCAAGATTTAATGAAACATGCTTCATTTTCTCTATGTTTCTCGATTCAAAGTGGAACTAACCAGACAGTAATCATGAGCACATTGACTCTGATGTTCTCTTCGCTCGTTCGCTTCACTCCTAGTGGAGAAATGAAGAAGTGGAGAATTTCTTTTCAAGTCATATGTCTTTCTTTCCTAAAGATTTCGTCTGAAGAGTTCAACATCAGTGATGACAAACGACCAAAAGTCGAACCTGAATCGATAAATATTGTTGTCTATCTCGAAACGACGATTGAGTTCTTGATGAAAAGGATTAATGAATAGATAAAGATCGAATGTCGAAAAGAACGAGTGTCGCCAAGATCGGTTGTTCGAAGCCAAGCTATTATTCGATAAGATTCTGGTCGAAAATCGTGTTGTTCAACTTATTGATGATCGAGAAAAACAGAAAATATTAACTTAAGAACAAATCAGGTTGTTTGTCTTCAAAAGAAAATCGAATTGAAGAAGACAGATGTGATTGAATTCTCGTCAATCAACCAATGAAAGATTTCGAAAATAGTTTCATTGTTGTTGAATAGATTGATTAAATATGAATTTGATTGGTGAAAATCATAGTGTGCGAGCATCTTCTCTTTATAGACACCTACAGCTCACACTTATCTCTCTAAGACTGACTATAGGATACTAAGTGATTTTGATCAGAAGAATTGAAGTCCGATCAACCAATATATAATAAACGAAATGTAATGACTAATCTTCTTTGCTGTAATAATAGACTTGCCATTCAGAATTCTTAGCTTGTTTTGTTTTCTTTTTAACAAAATATATAGTTTAGATTTCGGGTGTTGTGTGCGGTTGTGAGTGTGAGCATGTCTGAGGCTGTAGGTCTTCTCTTCAATCACATCCACACCCACCGAATCTTAAAAAAGGAAATCTAGTAGAAAACTGGCGGTTTAGCTCACCTTATCTTTCTATTGGCCATAGTATCCTTTTACAAATTGAGATACCTTTCAGCTTTGTTAAATAATTACTTCAAATAAGACTAGATCCAAGGAGAAAAGAGTGTACTTCTTCGTACTTCTCGGTATTTCTAGTCTTCTGAATTACAAAAGTATGCTCTGTCTCCGTTGAATAGATCACACTTATCAATTTTTAAGGAATAATATCATTATTGAAAAAAATTAGCCAGAGCATAGTGTGAATATTGTTTGATATTAAGTTCTGTGAGTTACTAGAGGAAACGTTTTGAAAGATATCTTCGTTTGTTCTTAATTCTAGCACATATTAAAGGTGACAGACTAAACTAGAAAATTATTAATGCTAGAAACTTCAACAGCTATATGAGTTTTACATCATATGTCTTCGTAGAACTGAAGTAATAGACTATTTCTCGAAAGAACTGATTGGCTAATTGATATGTTAAATGCATCAGTTTTTTTCGCCGGTTAAATCAGGAGTTTCAACCGGTCGAAAAAAATTCGTCTGGTGTCAACGATACTATACACAGAACTGTAGCCAAGCTCATGAACTCGATCAAAAAAGAAAAGCATAAATAAAAATTCTCTGGACAAATGTTTTGAACGAACGCAATTCTGGGTAGTTAACCAGAAGAACTACTTCGAACATGTGGTGAAGAAAACTTGTTTTTATATTTCTTTTCTTCGAAATTTCATTACTTTTGGTATGCTGAGTGTGGATGTGAATTTGGGTGGAGAGTGCGAGTTTGGGTATGAGTACGTGTGTCGACTCTAGATCCACCCCCATATCCTCCTACATTCAGTCACACCCGTTCTCAGGTTATTATATAGATAGATTCTTAGGATTTTATTAGTGTCTTATTTTATTCTTTTTAACTTCAGTTAACTGAAAAATAATTTTAAAAGCAGATTTGATTTAAAGGGTGAGAACAAGTTTTGTAGTTATTTTCTTACTTCTGTATTTTGGCGTGGGTATATAGCAACATGTCACATTTTTTTTCAGGAAATATTCCCCCATATGTTTGACAATTTTTTTTATAGAGAGTGAATTGACAAAACATAGAGTCTTGATGCTACAAATAATCTCTGAATCACATAGAAAGCATCTTCGGAGAATGAGTTAGTGTATTAAATTAAGATTTATTTCTATGTATTTGCACGTTTGCAAAAGAAAAACTCGTTACATGATTTGATAATTGATCTCAAGTCCTATTAATAGCAAGTAAATATTTCCTCATCAACCTTTTTTTTGTCAAAAACAATTATCTATCTGGTTTTGACTCAAAATTCTTCAAATTGTGCAAAATTCCAGGTGCTTTCAACTACGTTTAAAAAGATTGATTATTATTTTCATGTTTCCATAAACTCTTTACTGATTCTCTGTAACGTCAAGTGACAATAAATTTGTTGCAATATGTATTTCTAGATATTCTATTGTTTGTAAATACCTAAGGCCAAATGTTTTTAAAAGAGTAGAATTGATTTAATTTTGAACGATTATCTATCCATCATGTTAATGAATTCTAAATTACGTGTGTTCAGATATGATTAAGAAGGTAAGAATGAAAGTATGTTCGACTGAAGAAACATTAGAAACGAAGCCTGTAGAAAATATCATGGACTAACTCAGGACAAATTAGCATTCTAACAATGATTTTGCTCTGAGATACAAGAGAAATATCATCAATACCAAGCCTTTTGTTTCCTCACCAGCAAGTGAATAACAAACTTAAAGATAAAAGTACTTTCACTATAACAATCAAAAATCTCAAGCAATATGCAAGATTTTGCAGTGAAAAATTGATTATATAATAGGCTATAGACATAGTATGTAGTTTCAACACACATCAATAGAAAGAAACATCATGATGTATGTTTGATTTGGTCTAATGGTGCAAATAATATAAATTGAAAAATTCTCAAGTGTTTCAAGGTAAACTGAACTATTGTCAAACTGAAAGCTCGTTATGTTCGGAGTTTTCATTCTCACTTGAGTAGAGCTTGATACCCAGGAACTTAAAAGATAAAAAAAAAATTATGGCTTTCATGAATTTTATGTCGAAAACATGAAAAAAAATGTCATTTTGGATTATGAGACGGACAAAAATATGCATGTATTTCAAAATCATTGATTAAAATGGCTTTGAAATACGTGCATGTTTTTGTCTGTCTCATCATTTTAATAATTTTTTTTCATTTTTTAATTGCCTGGGTATATCCATATGTCTCGTCAAAAACCATGATATTTAGAGGACTGCTTCACTAGCACATAAACTGATTTAGTTTAATAAAATCTTCTGTACAGACTCACCATTGTATATTTTGATCACATGCAGGTTCTTCTTCTAAGTGAACAATTAAGAGATAGTCGTTAAAGTTGAGAGGATTGCTCTTCACACGTACGCGAGTTCCAGGCATAATAATCACTTCTGCCTCGTGTGGAAACGCTGAGTAAGCAGAAATATCTTTGCCATGCATCACTTTTATGGCGAATACAACCCCCTTTCTGCCGACAAACGGTTCAATGACATTGAGAGCCTTTGAACAGGAATTCACGCTCCACCAAGTTTGTAGACCATTATGCACAAAATTAGAATTGATATTACCCGAAACGCCTCGCCAAACAGTATCATTAAGCGACGGTAATTTTTCCAGAGCAGTAAGGAATAGCTTTAAAAAGGCGAACCATGGCTTCAGTACATGTCGTTTTTCATTACGAAGTGCTTTGTTAAGCATGGAAAAAAAATCGGTTTGCATTGAGTAAAGATATATTGCTGCTGATTCATCCCATGTTATGAGAGACGAATTTCTATTACAATATTGTTTAGCTTCAGCAACATAATCTATAAGATTAGAAACTGATGGAACAAGTTTTTCTACAGCTTGTTCTAATGTCATAACAGACAAATGTTGGTAACCGTATATTGGACTGTGATTGGCTTCTTGAAGTTCTGAGACATCATCGTTCACAAAACGATTGCTGTTCATGGGCGTCATACTTTGTGCCATTGAATTAACGATTTCCTATTATGAACAGAATTAGTCAACCATAGCATAAGCTACATTTCTACTGCTAGATCCTCATCCTGATTTCTATCTAGTATGTAATGAATAATGCATTTCGGCAGGTTTCATTGGATAAAATGATATTGTCCTTGAAATTGATATTTCTATCCATTACTATTTACTCAATTTTTTCATAAATATGAAATCTTGAAAAAACATTTTCTATAACACTACCCTGGATTGTCCAGAAAAAAATTCGATTTTAGATTAAAATACATCTCAAATGAAAGTTTTACTCAAATTATATACTAATAAAAAGAAAATTCGACTATTTGGGTTATACCCATATAAGACGCTG